CCACAAAATGTAGTAAAGTTTATCTTGTTATCTTCATCCTTAGGAACCAATTCTGTCCATTTTCAAACAGTCTCACACAGCTGCTCATAAAATACAGGGATGCTCAGTCTTACCTTGTACAATTTGATCTAACTTTGAAATCTTTTTAGATCTAGGTACTCCATTTACTCCATATATATTCACTGCTGATACTGTTTAATCATTATCACATGTTTATACTCCTGTATATACATATAACACATGTATATACTCCTGTATTTTGATACCAATCTAATTCTCAGGTCAGCATAAAATGATAACAGTCCATCCCTATTATTTTGTCTCTCATTTTCCTCTTGAGCTTTATCCAACATTATTCAGTTTTCCTTGGGGAAAAAAAAAAGTTAAAAAAAAAAAAAGTAAAGTATTCAAAAGCACTTGTAAATCCTGCCAATGTGGATTGTGATTTTCAATTACCATTTTAAAGGATCAATACATTTTCCTGGACTTTTTCAGTATGACCCTGTTGATTCCTATCAACTTATTAAACCTGTATTTTTTAAAAGGAACTTTTACATATATAGGCATTCCCTCTAGGCCCACTGATGCAATAGAGCCTGAATCACAGCATTGTGCTATACTTTAGTCCTGCCTGAAATCGGACTTGATATCTTACTTCCTTTATCATCAGTACTATCCCAAACATTTTTCAGAGAAATCAACAATTGTATATCCTCTTCCTTATCATCTACTTTTAAACATTTTTTCCCAATACGACAAGCAGAACAACACATCTTCTTTTCATCACGCATCATCAATAACAAATTTGAATCTGATACCAATAATTTACACTTCTTTTGTTTGTTTCATGATAATTTCTCAAAGAAAGAACAAATCTACATACAAGATTTCATCCTATTTATCCTGCCTCTTGCTAAAAACCTAAGTTGGAAAATTGTATTACAGCTCAATGCTCCTTCTCCAGCACATAGATCACAGATGTTCACTGCTTCTCCAGCACATAAGTCCTGGACCTTTTCTCCTTCTCCAGCAAGCAAGCTCTGGACCTTCACTCCTTTTCCAGCAGGTTGGCTCCCATACGTTCATTTTTTTTTTCTCCAGATCGCAGTCTTTAGATGTTAATTCCTCCTCCAGCTCACATGCCCCGGATATTTATTTCTTCTTTAACACACAGGACCTGGATCTTCACTGCTTCTGCAGTTTGCAAACCCCAGATGTTTGTTCCTTCTCCAGAGCACAGACTCCAGATGTCTGCTCATTCTCCAGCTCAAAGGCCACGGACATTGGCTCCTTTGGCAGGGCATAGACCATGGATGTTTGCTGCTTCTCCAGAGCAAAGATCATAAATGAACACTGCTTCTCTATCAGGCAAGCTGTGGACATTCACACCTTCTCCATGGGGGAAGATTCTCAGTGTTCTGTTCTCCAGAGTGTAAGCCTCAGATGTTCACTCCTTCCCTGAGGCACAGGACCTGGATGATTGCTTCTTCTCCAGGGCACAGGCACCAAAGGTCCACTCCTTCTCCAGGGCACAGGACCTGAATGTTCACTCCTTCTCCAGGGTGCAGGCTGCATACTTTCACTCATTCTCCAGAGTGCAAGCCCTGGACAATCTCTTCTTCTCTGGTACCTAATCCACAGATGTACACTCCTTCTCCAGGGTGCAGGCTAGAGATCTTTGCTCCTTCTCCAGGATGCAGGACCCAGACTTTCGCCAATTCTCCAATACCACAGACCTTTGCTCCTTCCACAGCGTGCAGGACACAGACATTCAGTCCTTCTCTGGAGTGCAGGCCCTAGACAATCTCTACTCCTTCAATACCCAATCCATAGATGTATGTTCCTTTACTATTCACAGGCTCCTGACCTCTGCTCCTTCTCCAGGGTGCAGGCCAAAGACATTGGCTCTTTCTCCAGAGTACAGGATGGATGTCCTCCAGCACACAGGCCTCAGACATTCACTCCTTCTTCAGTGCACAAGACCCGGAGCACCAATGCTTCTGCAGCTTCCAAGCTCCAGATGTTTCCTCCTTCAGTGGAGTCAGCCGGAAAAGGGAAGTGATTGTTCCCCTGTACTCAGAGCTAGTGAGGTCGCACCTCAAATAATGTGTTCAGTTTTGGGCCTCTCACTACAACAAAGACATGGAAGGGCTGGAGAGTGTCCAAAGAAGGGCAACGAAGGTGGTAGAAGGGCTGGAGCACAGACCTTATGAGGAGTGGTTGAGGGAGCTGGGGTTATTTAGTCTGGAGGAGGGTCAGGGGAAACCTTATTGCTCTCTACAACTACCTGAAAAGGGGTTGTAGTGAGGTGGAGGTCGATCTCCAAAATAACTACTGATAGGACAAGAAGAAATGACCTCAAGTTGTGTGAGGCGAGGTTCAGGCTAGACATTAGGAAAAATTTCTATGTGGAAAGAGTAGTCAAACATTCGAACATGCTGCCCATGGTGGTGGAGTCACCATCACCGGTAGTGTTCAAGAAACATGCAGATGAGTCACTTAGAGACATGGTTTAGCAGTCATGGTGTTCAAGGGCTTATGGTTGGACTCAATGATCTTAAAGGTTTTTTCCAACCATAATGATTTTATGATTCTCCAGAGTGCAACCCCAGGATGCCTGGGGGATATCTACTCCTTTTTCAGAGCACTGGCCCTGAACATCTGCATATTCTCCAGGACACAGGCAGGGGACCTTAGTTCCTTCAGGACACAGGCCCTGGACGTCCACTCCTTCTCCAGCATGAAAGTCAAAGAAGTTCACTCTTTCTGTAGCACATAGGTCGCATATGTTTGCTTCTTTTGCAGGCCACAGACCCTGAATGATTTCTTCTTCTCCCATACTCATTCCACAGACATGTGCTCCTTCACTAGGATACAGGCTCCTGACCTCCATTCCTTCTCCAGGGCACAGGACCCAGACATTTGCTCCTTCTGCAGGATGCAAATTATGGATTTTTGCTGCTTCTCCAGGGCACAGGTCACAGATGTGCTCTCCTGTAGGGCGCCTGCTGCAGGTCACAGGCTGTGGATGTTCACTCCTTCTCCAGGACATCTGCTCCTTCTGCAGTATACAAGTTGCAGACTTCCACTGCTTCTCCTGGGTGCAGGCCCTGGACGTCTGTTCTTTCTCCAGCACAAAGGCCATGGACAAATGCTCATTCTGCAGGGAACAGGCCATGGACATTCGCTCCTTCTCCAGGGCAAGGACTGTGAATGTACACTGTTTCACCAGCGAGCAAGCCAAAGATCACTTCTTCTCCAGCATGCAGGCCATGGATATTCACTCCTCCACATCACAGGCCATGAGTGTTTGCTCCTTTTGCAGTGTGCAGACCGCTGACATCTGCAAGGCACAGGTTGCTGATGTTTGTGCTTCTCCAGTAAGCAAGCCACAGATACTTGCAGAAGCAGATATTTGCTGCTTCTCCAGTGGGCTGGTCCCGATGATTCACTGCATCTCCAGTGCACAAGCTTTCGCGCCTTTTACAGGGTATTGGCCACAATATCTGATCTTTCTCCTTCACACACGCTGAATTTGATTTTTTGCTAGCATGAAGGCTGCAAACATTCATTCTTGCCTGACCACGTAGGCCACAGATTTTTGCTCCTTTTGTAGTGCACAGGTTGCTGATGTTCATTCCCTCTCCAGAGTGCCAGATGTCCACCCTTCCCCACTGTGCACATCCTGATTTTCACTCGTTTAGAGCTTACACCACAGACATATGCTTCTTCTCCAGTGCACAGACTGCAGATGTTGTCTGCTTCTCTAGTGCACAGGCCACATAGGTTCACTGCTTCTCTAGTGCATAGGCCACACAGGTTTGCCGCTTCCCTAGCACATGCACCACAGATGTTTACGCCTTCTGCAGGGTACAGGCCATGGATGTTATAGCTGCCTCTCCAGTGCATAGGCCCTAGTCATTTGGGCATTCTCCATGGCACAGGCCATGGATATTCACTCCTTCTCCAGGGCACAAGCCATGGGTTTTGGCTACTTCTCCAAGGCACAAGCCCAGGACCTTCTCTCCTTCTCCAGTGAACAGGACCTGGTCATCCATTCCTTCTCCAGGTTACAGTTCTTGGATGCTGGTTCCTTCTCCTGCACACAGGCCCTGGACATATGCTCATCCTTCAGCACACAGGACCCAGGTCTTTCCTTGAGTCACAGTACTCGCATATTCACTCCTTCTCCAGGGCACAACCCCCAGGACATCCGTGCACCAGTCCTGAAGGTCCACTTCTTCTCCAGGGTGCAGGAACAAGACATGCAACTAAACCTCTCACTGGTGCAGAGCATCATGAAGATCAACCTGGCCATCTGAACAGTGGACACTGCCCCAGGCTTGAGCTCACCTGCAAATAGGAGCTGTTACAGATGTTGCTGGTGAGTGCCTGGAGTGAGTGCTGTTGTGCTAGGGGCCTTTCGACTCTGCTGAAGGGTGGGTTTCTCCAGAGGCACAATATTTTTCTGGGACCATACCTGAGCTCCTGCACACGCTGAGCTGCATCCCCAAGTGACAGGGCACTTGAATGCTGGTGCTGAGGGCTGTGGCATGAGAGTACCATATGTCCAAGGCTTTGGTGGGAGCCGTAGGAATGGCAGAGCCAGGGTCTGGTAGAAATGACTGTGACTGGGGCAGGTGTGACCACTCTGCTGAACCCCTGCCCACTGCTCACTTTGTATGTCTGTCTCTGTGACCTGCAGGAGGTGACTCAAGACAAACTCCAGGAGTCCCCAGTGTGTGTGTAGGGAATGGGGCTCATCTGTTTCGGAGAATGGAGAGGGTTTCTCGGAATGGCTGCAAACTGTTACTTGCAACTCTCTTTCAGGCAGGGTGGCTTTCCCAAGTTGAGAGCCCAGAGGAGCAAGGAAGGCAAAGGAGCCAAGAGGCTCTGAGGCCAAAAGCTTCCAAGCTCCTTCGCACTCTAAGAAAAAAGATTTCCAAGCTAACTGTTGTCAGTCACACAGATTTGTTGACCTTGGGGGTCCAGGGAGTAAGTGAGAGCCATCACAGGGCTACTGTCCTCAGTGGGCAGGACTGTGCTGGTGCCAAGTGGTCGATGTGAAGTGCCCTCAAGAGCAGCCTACCACATGGACTTTTTCAGCTGCAGAATAAAAGGTGCTGTGCTGCTCAGGCTTCACCCTCTACTGCACCCTTTCTACTTCTGCCCTGGGGATGAGGTCCTTCTTCTGCAGAGAGATCGAGGAAGCATTTGCCAGCCTCATGCTGCACGGCCAGGACGCAGTCCTAGCCATCTGCAACATAAGAGTGCTGAAGCTCCCTGCAGAGCTGCAGAAATCCCATGGCATCAGCAGAGACATGGTGCCACGCATGCCCATGCAGGGCTACTGGTGTCTTTGCAGGTCTTTGCTGACTCCGCCGCACAGATGTATCTCTCCTGACGCTCTTGGCAGTTGAGCAGAATCCCTGTGACAGGGCCTGATGCTCTTCTCCAGATGTGGAAGGTGGTGACTCTGCATCAGTGTGCCCCATTCCTGGCATCAGAGAGGGTGCGGCAGCACTTTGCTGTAAGCATGGGCCTGAGCATTGCCAAGCTGTAGGACGAGGTCTGTAGTCACCCTGGGAGTGAGCTCTGTGTGGCCAGCTGCCTGTGGCCTGTGGCCATGTGCCTGTGTTTCTTCTCTGTTTTCTTTTTCTTTCTCTGTTCCCCCTCCTCCTTGTCTCCTTTTGTCTCCTTTTTCAGGCTTTCCTTTTCCCTTTCTATTCCAGTATTCTTTCTCTCCCTCTTTCTTTCTTCTATCCTTCTCTGCAGATCTTTCTCTCCATTTTCTCCTCCTTTCTGCCTCTTTCTCCCCCTTTCTTGTCCTTTCTATCTCTTCTTTTTCCCCTCTCTCTGTTTACCTCTCTCTCGTTCTTGATTTCTTTTTCCCTTTTCCACTATGCCTATTCCACCTTTTTTTCCTTTCCATTTCTCCCCCTTCCTCTTAATCTTCGTCTTTTTTTACATTTGTCTCTCGCTTCCCCTTTTCTGTTCCTTCTGTTCCTCTCGTCCTCTCTCTTTTTTCTCATTCTCTCCCTTTCTTCCTTTCTGTGTCTTCCTCAACCTCCCTTCTTTTTTTCCTTCATTTTTCCTTCCATCTTATTTTCTCTCCCTCATCGTCATTTTTCTTTCTCCTTCTTCCTCTCTCTCTTCCCCTTTCTCTTTCTTTCTTCCCTCTCTTTTTTCTTTCTCTTCTATCCCTCTCTTTTTGTCTCCTGTCACTTTCTCTGCCTTCTCCATTCTCTCTGTGTTGCTCTCTTCCTGTTCGGTATGTCTCTTCCTCTCACAATTTCTCTTTGCTCACTTTCTCTCCCTCTTGCCTTCTCTTTCTTGCTCTTTACCTTTCTCTTTCTCTGTTGCTTTCCTTTCCTCTTTATCTCTCTCTTTCCATCTCCGCCTCCCTTATCTTTTTTCTCTTATGCTATACCTCTCCCTTCCTGTTTTCCCACTCCCTTTCTCCTTTCTCTCATTTATCTCTCCTTCTCTCTCATGATAAACCTTCTCTCTCCCTTTCCCACTGACTCTTTTCTCCTGTTTCTATTTTACTTCCTCCCTTTTTCCTCTTCCTCTCTCTACCCCATTCCTCCCTTCTGTCCCTTTGACTTGTTCTTGTTCTTGTCTTTTTCTCCTCTTTCTCCATCTTCCCTTTTTTCTTCTTCTCCTCCTTTTCTCTCTTGCTTTCTCCCTTTCCCTCCCTCATTTCTTCTCTCTTCACTCACTCTCTCTTTCCTTCCTGCCCTTTCTTTTGGATTTTCTCTCCTTTGTTCTCTCTCTCCCCCTTTCCTGCTCCCTCCTCCTCCATTTTTTCCCCCTTCTGTACCTCATTCTCACATGTTCTTTTGCTCTCTTCTCTCTTTCCTGTCTACTCTCCTCTCTCTTTTTTTTGTGCTTTCTCATCTCTTTTTTTATCTGTGCTTCTCTCTCTTCTTCTCTGTTTCTGTCTCTTTTCCTTCTCTCCACTCTCTGCACTTTTTGTGTTCCCCTTCTCTTCTTCCCCTCTTTTTCTCCTTCTCCTCTCTTTTTCCTTTCTCTCTTGCTCTTTTTCTTGTCTCTTCCCATATTTTCTGCCATTCCCGCCTTCTCTTCCGCTTTCTCCCCTTCTTGTTCTTGCAGCATATATTGGCAAGCGGTGATGAGGTGTGGCAAATGTGTGGTGAGAGCAGAGTCAGAACCAGAAGCAGAAGGGCAGGACTGGGGCTGACAGCAGAAAAAGCATCAGCGGGAACAGCAGGAAGTACCTGTGAGTGATGGGGCTGCACCTTTGCCAGGAAGGACCTGGGGACAGCACCAGGAGCAGGAAGTGGCCTGGGTCTATCCATGGCAAAGCACCAAGCTGGGGCAGGGGGAGTTGCAAGGTCGTCCCTCAGGCATTCTCCTGGTCTGGGAACAGACCATGGGTGGCAGGCCACTGTGTGAAGCCCTGGGCCACATCTGCCCTCCAGTGAGAGCCAGAAGCCACGGGGCCAGGACATTGGAATAGTGCTAAGCAGGAGTCAGAGGGAGCCAGGGTTAGGAATTAGGGTTAGGGTTGGTTTAGGGATAGGCTATGGTACAGTCAGGGTTAGGGTAGGGTTTGGGTTTGCATTAGATTTATACTTAACACTTAGGATTGGAGTTAGGGTTAGTTTAGGTTAGGGTTAGGTTATGGGTTATGCTTAGGGTTATGTTTAGGGTTATGTTTTGGTTACCTTAGGGTTAGGGTTAGGATTAGGTTTAGGGTTAGGTTTAGAGTTAGGGCTTAGGGTTAGGGCCAGGGTTGGGATCAAACACGGGTTTAGAGTTAGAGTTAAGGTAGGGTACTAGTTAAAGTTAGGGTTAGCATTAAAGTTTAGCATTTACATTTAGAGTTTGGATTTGGGTTAGGGTTAGGGTCAGAGTTAGAGTTACAGTGAGGGTTAGGGTAAGGGTTAAGTAGAGGGTTAGGTTTAGGTTAGAGTTGAAGGTAAAATTATGTGTAAAACTTAGGGTTCTTGATATTTAGGTTTAGAATTACAGTTTAGGTTAGGTTTTAGGGTTGGGGTAGGGCAAAGGTTACAGTTAGCATTAGCATTAGGCTTCAGGGTTAGGATTGGGGTTACGGTTCGGTTAACTTTAGGGTTAGGATTGGGGTTACAGTCAGGGTTAGTTTTAGGGTGAGGTTTGGTTGCTTTTAGGATTAGGGTTAGGGATTAGGGTTAGGTTAGAGTGAAGTTACTGTTACTAGCAAGGTTAGTGTTAGAATTTAGTTTTAGGGTTAGAGTTATTGTAAGGGTTAGGATTTAGGTTTAGGGACAGTGTTAGGAACAGGGTTAGGATTAGGGATAGGCTGAGGTTTAGAGATAGCATTAGTGCTAGGAATAGGGATAGGATTAGGGTTAGTTTAAGGGTTAGGGATAGTGTTTGGATTAGGATTAGGTATTGGGTTAGGTTTAGGCTGAGGGTCAGGATTACTGTTAGGGGTAGAGGTTTATGCTAGGGATAGATTTACGTTAGGTTTAGAGTTATGGCTTAGAGTTATGGTTTAGAGTTAGGATTAGGTTTATGTTCAGGGTTACGGTTAGGGTCAGGTTAAGGGTTAGAGTTAGGGCTAGAGTTAGGGTTAGAGTTATGTTTAGTGTTAGGATTAGGTTATGTTTAGTGTTAGGGTCAGGTTAAGGGTTACGGCTACAGTGAGGGTTACAGTTATGTTTAGTGTTAGGATTAGGGTTAGGGTTAAGTTTCAACTTTAGGCTAGGGGTATTTAGGGTTGGGTTAGGTTAGGGTTATCGAGAGGTTAGGGCCAGAGTTAGGTTTTAGAATTAGAGTTAGTGTTCAGGATTAGAGTTACGGGTACGTTTATGGATAGGTATACAGTGAGGGTTGAGTGTTAGCATTTTGATTAGGTTTAAATTTAGGATTATGGCTAACTTCGATTACTGGTAGGGTTATGTTTAGCATTATGGATTAGGGATAGGGTTAGATTTAGGAATATTTATGGTTATGGTTACTTTAGATTTAGAGTTTTTTAGTTAGATTTAGAGTTTTTAGTTAGAGTTAGGGTAACCTTTAGGGTTACAGTTTAGGGTTAGGATTAAGGGTAGAGTTAGGGACAGGGCAACGAGTTATGGTTAGGATTACAGATTAAGGCTAGGGTGTAGGGCTAGGGTTATTGTTAGGGTTAGTGGTTAGGTTCAGGATTAGATTTAGTTCTAGTTCTAAGGCTACTGCTAAGGACTGGGGATACGAGTAGTTTAGGGTTAGAATTAGGGTTTAGGGTTAGGTTTAGGGATGTTTAGTGTTAGGGTTAGGTTTAATTTTAACATTGGGATAAGGGTTAGGGTTATGCCTAGGTTTAGGTTTTGGGTTTGGTTTAGGGTTAGGGGCACTGTTAGGGTTTTGCTTAGGGCTAGGGTTATGGTTTGGTTTAAGGTTAGGTTTCAGTCAGGTTTAGATTAACAGTTAGGTTTACGGGTTACAGTTAGGGTTACTTAAGGTCAGCACCAGGGTTAGAGTTAACGTTAGTGTTAGGGTTATGGTTTGAGTTTAGGCTTAGGTTGTGGTTGGTTCTGGTTTACTATTAGGCTCATGGTTAAGGTTAAGATTATGGGCTACAGGGATAGGGTTATAGATATTTATACTTACGGTCACCTTTAGGTTTTGGTTAACACTCTTAGGGTTACATTTAGGTTTCAGGGTTAGAGTTATCACAGAACAACCGAATGAGTGAGATTGGAAGAGACCTCTAGAGATCATCTAGTCCTAACTCCCTGCTCATGCAAGGACAGACACAGCACGTGTCATAGAGTCATATCCAGGCAGGTTTGCAAGATCTCCAGAGAAGGAGACTCCATAACCTCTCTGAGCAGGCTGTTCCAGGGTTCTGTCATCCTCACAGGAAATAAGTTTTTCCAAACTTATGCTTAGGGTTAGGTTTAAGATTAGCTTTTGGTTAAGGTTAGGTTTCAGATGATTTTAGGTTTAGGATTAGGATAGTCAGAGGATTAGGATTAGTTAGAGGGTTAGTGTCAGGTTCAGTTTTAGAGTTAGTGTTTAGGTTTAGAGTTACAGCTGGTGTGGGATAGGGCTAGGATTAGGGTTTAGGATTAGCGTTAGGATTCCAGGTTAGAGTTTAGAGTAAGGGTTAGCATTAGGGTTAGTGTTATGTTTAAGGTTGGGTTAGGTTAAGGTTAGGGATAGTTTTAGGATTAGTGTTATGGGTTAGGGTAGGATTAGTCTTCGAGTTAAAGACTAGTGTCAGAGTTAGGATTCATGATTAGGTTTATACGCAGGTTTAGGGACAAGGTTGGGGTAGTTTTGGGGTGTTATGATTAGGGCAATAGGGCTTTATGATTAGATTTATGATGGGGGGGTTACGATTAGGGCCAGGGTTAGGGGTTTAGGATTAGAGTTGGTGTTGTAAATGGTTAGGGTAAGGGTTAGTGTTAATGTTTAGGTTTAGGGTCAGGGTTAGGGTTAAGCTTAGGGTTAGGTTTTAGGGTTACAGTTAGAATTAGGGTTATGGGTTACAGTTATGAT